AGAATATTAAAGACCTAGAAATGTAAACATGGAAAATTTTGACCTTTAAGTTCCCAACGGTTACAGAATAAAAAGATTTGCTTGCATACTTGGAGTGAATACTTTCTAAAGTTGCAAACTAGACAAATCTGGTTTAGAGCTGGTTTAGGTCAAAAGGAACAACCGTGCAGTGAAATTAACAATGAAACACTGATCAATCTTGTCTGAGCAATGCAGGGGTCTTCCTGAGAATTTAGAATCAAAGTGATAGATGTCCTTTTTGTTCCTCTTTGATGAGGCTGATTGACAGCAGTCATGTGGGAGCTCATTGACCATCCCAAAATGGTATAGCATTTCTCCCACACCTATGCAGACAGTTTCTTATAAAAGATCAAAGACAACCATTAGTCCTCTAGAATAGGAGAAGAAGCTATAGAAGAAGAAAAATATATATAGGCAAATCAGAAGTAGATGGAAAAGGGAACCTTTATACTTAGGCCATCTGGGACACTATGGAATCAGCTAGAGAAGTCAGCTCTCCCCATAGTGTATTATCACCCAAGGACAAATGTGTCCAATAATGGAACAACACAGCCTGAATCAGGACATGACTTTCTGTTATTTTTAAGGAACACAAAATTACAGAAAGAAGGGTTGGCTTCTCAGGATGGAGGTATGTTGGAGATAAAGCTCAGTTGCTACATAGTAAATGAAAGAAACATCTTTCAAGCAAAGAAGAACGGGAGGAGAAGGTGGATTTGGGGTGACTATCTAGGTTTAAATAGGAATTCTGACCATCTTCAGCTGTTGAACTCTGACTACCTATGACTTATAGATGTCTCATAGATACAGGTTTATGGTTTATGGGACGGAGGTTTTCAGCAGGGATGTTGGAAGGGCACTGGACACATTCAGACCTCACACCATCGGGCAATCAGGAAGTGAGGTGCTCATGTTATCTAAAATTTCAGGTGACAGCTTAAGTTTCAAGAAGTTTTCTTCCAAAGAGAAGTTATGGACCACCATGGAGACCTCAAATATCTGTACTATGTCATCTCGCCCTCTACTGCTAGTGGGGTTTGGTATGTGATTGAGAAGAGGTAGGCTGGGGGACTGGCTGAGAACTTGAATTTAATTTCTTTCATTTATAATTTACATACATCAGTTGAAACAAATCTTTCTTCCTTCTATGCTCCCATTACTTCTTTAGAGCTCCAGTTTAGCACTCATCAATCTGACAAAAATTAGCATAATCTATATATTCATCTCTCTCTTTCTCTCTGTCCAGTGGTTCAACAATGAGCACAATTCACCATTGTGTGCTCAGCTTCTAACACTAAACCTAACAACTTAGTGTCTACTGAACTCTCAAGTCTATTCCAATAAATGATATGCTCAAGTTCGGGACCCCCAAAAGACCACCAGAGACCAAGATCGATGTAAGCAGCAAAGAGGTGTTTATTGCGAGCTAGCTCGGTCCTCCGCGCACACACACAGCAACTGGTGACGCTGAAAGGCCCCGAGCCCAGGGTTTGCAGCAGTTTTATACACTCTTTCGGGAAGGCAGGGACTTCACATACTTCATAGCATCTCTTAGCAAGTCATCACACACCGTGGGAAAATCAAACAACTCTTAACATTGATTAGCACATTCACTGGTAGGAACAAGTTGGGTAGGGGTGATTGGTTAGTACAAGAGGAGGATTCATTTGAATCAATTGGTTTAAGCCAAGAGGGGGGTACGTGCTGAACTACATGGTTTCCCAACACTTTATCAACCACCATAAACTACTGGGAGGGTGATTTGGCATCCCAGGTATCTCCCTGTCTCATGCTGATTGGTGGCTGCTAGGGGGTTGCTATGGGTCCTCACCTAGCCTAACTGAGTCAGGGACAACTGGCACAGCAGATCTCTCCTGTTATTTGTAGATAAGCAACTCAGCAGGGTGGGTATGTGCCTAGAAGTGCTCTGTGGGTTTTTCCAAGGACAAGGGTCACGCCCCTTCCTTGGACAGCTTTGCTCTGAGGTAGAGGCTGATTTCTCAAAAATGGAGTCACATCAGTTTCTCATAAAGACCATGTGTGCTTGTGAGACTCTAACTGCTTTTCTATGATTTGCTTTGATAATGGAGAAGGTGGAAACTCATGCTCCTACAATTGTAGCTGGTTCTGCATGAATTAGACTTCACAGCCTGAGCAGTGCTGGAGATGTCCCTTGTCCACTTAGGTCTCCATGGGCTAGACTGAGGATCCTGGTTTTCTCTCTATGGGGAAAGTCTCAGGATGAGATTTCTGTTTAATCTGGGAAGTTTGAGGACGTGGAAAATTTGAATTTTCTTTTTAACCCTTGATTATTTACATCACTTATCCCCACAATGAGTTGCCCTTGGGTGATAATACGCTCTGGGTAAACAGAAAGAGCCAAAGTGCAAATTCAAATTCAGCCTTCGTTCTTTATTTTATCTTATTATCTGTATAATGGAGAACCTTATTCCTGCCTTTCTCAGGTGTCTTGGGCAAGGGACCACAGACAGTATGGAGAAGTATTTGCTCCCGAAAGTGAAACTGGTCATGAATAGAGACCAGAATGATTCCAAGAAAGGGTGAAATTCTTCTCAGTTATTTAAACCAGCCAAATATTCTGTGAACGGCTAAAACTATTGCACAGATGAGAAAAAGTTTTGTGGCTAGTATCTTCATGGGGTGAGAAAAGGTGTCAAAAGCATTTGATTCTACAATGTCTGACTGTTAAGTTATCTGTTCAAACAAGGTATCTGAAAAACACAAGTGATAAATGCTCTAATAGTCCACGGTAATAAAATGTTCTGAGTGATGTCTGTCAGGAACCGCACAGCCCAGGACCCCAGGAGACAGCCCTGCACAAAGATCAAGACAGTCCTATCGTTCAGGTAACAGGTATTTATTTCACTGAACTCCAGCATGCAAAGCCCATTCTCAGCTTGATGAGATTTTGCTTTATATAGATTGGGAAAAAATATCCCAAGGCTTACATCTTTGTCATTAAATATTAAGCATACTTTGTCAATTTTCTATCGCATTGCATTATAGTGAGATCTGCATAGTTCTCTCTATCCCCCCTTGAAAGACTGGGAACTCCTCTATTCAGGGCATAGTGCAGGGTTTATTTTAACATTTTCCGTGTCTAGCGCAGTGTGTGGCATATCGTAAAGATTGCCTGAATGTTTATTGAATGATGGTTAAACTCTCTAATTTCGGTTCTTTGTTTTTAATTATTCAGGTTTTCTTTTCTTTCCCAGTTAATGACTTCTCTTTGTTACTTTTAGCCACCTATTATGTTCTTAGAGAACCTAGGGTACGGTTTGATTTTTTTTTTCCATTGTCTCTGTTAATTCTCAGAGAGGAGGGTCTGGCAGCTTAGTTGTGCTCTGGAGTGCAGGACACATTTGTCCTTTAGGTCTCTGTATGTTTTGAAGGCTTTTCTGATGAATGGAAGTGAAAGGTGTGTCCCGGTCTGTCCCAAGGTCTGAAGTTCAATCGAGCCACTAACATGACAGCAAGTCCTTCTTTTTGCTGGGTGCTCATCTTCACCTTAAATCACAAACCTACATAATACCCTTTGATCAGTCTGTACTCCAGGCTCTCTCTGATCTTATTCAGCTTCAGTTTACGTTCAGAACATTCCGATCTTTCCTGCGATTCTCATGGTTTGTAGTCTGTAGCTCCGCAGGACACAGCGACTTAGTGTCTCTGTGGAGCTAAGTAAGGATAACAAGGATGTCAAGAATCCAGAGAGAGGCCTCATAATCTTAGTTTTCCCGAGTCTTAGGTGATTCTCACTCTCTAAAAGTAAAAAAAAAAAAAATCCTCACGAAGCCTTCACAGTCTGTCCCCAGACTACCTTCCTGGTCACATCAACTTCCATTCCCTCTTCTCACACCCTGGAGTCAAAACACAGAGTCATTTTTCACTCCTTGAACACTGCTCTTACTTTCATACCCGAGGCTGTATTGTTTCTTCTCTTTGGAAGTCTTTTCCGGCAACTTCAGATAATTGTCAGCCAATCTCTTATCAGTGTTTTAAAACCAGTTCAGACCAAAGGTAACCTCCTCTCCCAACACGTCCTGGTATCTCCAACAGTCTTATTCTCCACCACCATCCCCACCCCCCTTCCTTTTCTTCCTTCTTTCCTCCCAAACCAATCACTCTCTTGGTTGTCTTTTAATCTTTTGTGTGCGTCATTTAAAACAAAGTATTGAAATCATGCTTTTAAACCTGTGTCTTTGCCACAGGACTTTAAGCTTCTTAGAGCCAGACAATAGGGCCTTTTCCTCTTTATGTCCCCAGGATGCAGAGCACAGCCTTGTCCATTATATGCTTTCTGAAATAATGGCAGCTGAGCTGACTCTGAAGGATCTTGGAATGTGCCCTCAAAAGGCCATCATGGCGCTGATGAGATATGGATTGGCTAGAATCTCTAATTAAACTGTCCCTCGTCACTGACTTTAATAAGCCATGCTAGAATCTGAGAGGAGTGAAAGCAGCTAGGATGGGAAATCTATTTACACTAGGCTTGGCCATCCTGAGGCCACCCTCCCTGCCTGCCCTGTGACTTACTCCTTGATATGTCATGTATGAATGGGTTCCAACATGAACTCCACTTTGAGAAACCCTATGAGCTTAAGAAGAAAGGAAAAGACGGGAGGAAACAATTTAAAGTGGGCCTGGGTTCTGTTCTATCGCCTTTGGTAGGTGGAGATTCACAAGGAGCCCAAAAGTTCCAAATCCTCAGCCCTCCTCCTTCCTGACCTTTCCTTCACTTGGATCTGATCTTTATTTATGTATTTATCCCCACAGCAGGTCCATGCTTTATTCAGGGGCTTTATTTAAATGCTTTCAAATTTCCACTTGCATGATGCTGCTGCTTTTCTTGATTCCTGCTCGAGGAGCAGGTCCCTAGAGGTCAAGTGTATGTGACACTTACCCTCATATTCCTACCTCGGGTGGATGTCAAGAGCCTCAGGAGAACCCTTCACAGATTGTCAGGAGTGTTTCCTGCAGATAGCCCTGTACAGAGCATCCCTAACCTCTTTGTTCCTCAGGGTGTAGACCACGGGGTTCAGGAGGGGCGTGATGACAGTGTAGGACACAGAGATCAGCTGGTCCTCATCCCTGGTGTTCTCTGACTTGGGCTTGAGGTAGGCGATGGAGGCACAGCCATAGTGGACAATGACCACTGTAAGGTGGGAGGCACAGGTGGCGAAGGCCTTCTTCCGGCCCTCAGCTGAAGCGATCTTTAGGATGGTGGAGATGATGAGAACATAGGAGATGAAGACCAGGCCCATAGGTACCACTAGCACCAGCACACTGATGACCAAAGTCAGGATCTCATTGACAGTGGTGTCGATGCAGGAGAGCTTCATCACGGGTCGGATGTCACAGAAGAAGTGGGCCACCTTGGTGGCACAGAAGGGCAGTCTGAACACAGCTGACACCTGTGTTACTGCTACAATTAGGCCAATGCTGCAGGCCCCCCCCACCAGCTGGAAGCACACCCTCTTGTTCATGATAATTGTGTATCTCAGGGGGTTGCAGATGGCCACATAGCGGTCATACCCCATGGCTGTGAGCAGGAAGCAGTTAGTGATCCCAAAGGTTACAAAAAAGAACATCTGTGTGGCACAACCTGCCAACGATATGGACTGGCTCATACCCACAAGACTGGATAGCATCCTTGGGAGAATGACCAATGTATAGACGGTCTCTGAGGTGGATAGCATGCTTAGAAAGAAGTACATGGGTGTGTGAAGATGGCGGTCAATTCGGATGATGGTCACAATGATGACATTGCCTGCTAGCGTGAAGATGTAGAGTTTAAGGAACACCACAAAAAGGGTCATCTGGTGCTCATGGAAACTGGAGAAAGCTTGGAAAGTAAACTCAGTGATGATAGAGTAGTTTTCTCTCTTCATTAAGTAGTCACAAAATCTGAAGGGTGGAAGAATAAAAGTTATATAGTTTCAGGAGTTTAAGCGCCTTTCTGAAATTGATTGAATTAAGTTCTCAGCTATAAATCTGGGGACACATTTCATAGGGGATTCAAGTTAATCCCTGAATTTACTGAAAAAAAACATTTTTTTTTTTTGCTCTGTGGTCATCTGTTTTGATTTCCTACACATTTGAGAATTGGGTGATCTCTTTTCTCTAGGCGTAGAAGTGCACGTTCCTACTTCTCTCCTTCTCTTCCTCCCTCACATATGGAATGCCTTCCTCCTTTTCTCCACGTACATAATTCTTCACCATTCTTCATAGATCAGTGCAAATTTCCAGTGCTCCCTAAAATTATATGATATTCAGATGTTCTCATGTTTATTTGGATTATTTTATACCCCATCCTTGCAGTGTCTTCTCACACAAACAAAGACTTTATAATACCTCTTACATCTTTTCACATCACACTAACTCAGGATTATGCATGAATTAGATGCTTGGAATATGATATATCAAGAAACATGTAATGTTTTGAACAACCAACAATAAAAAATTAAAAAAAAAATTAGATGCTTGGAAACAATCATTTAGGGATGGACCGGAGAGTTGTGTTTTTTTTTTTTTTTTTTTTTTTTTTTTTTGAGACTATGAGTCATCCCTCTTACACATCCACATCCTTTAGGAAGTAGAGGCAAAGAAAATGCAGAAAGGCTCATCTTGTTTTTAAGAAGAAAAAGACAAAACTTAACCAATCACCAACCTCTCCCAACTGCTGTCTGAATGATGGAAGTCTGCTGACAGTTCACAGCCCTGATTCACGTATGTTATAAACTGTGCTACATCTTTACCTTCCCTAAACTAGAAAGCAAATTTACAGCCAATACAACTTTGAGAGTAGACATACACCTACTCTGCAGAGGTAAACAATTGTTATTGGGAAAGATGCAGCAAATTCAAGTATCCCTTACCTAAAGTAAAAGCAGTTTCTGAATATATATATAAAAAATAGAGCTACAATAAGAATACATCACTTTGTTGAAGGATGGGGATGAGTGCAATTTATGTAATATTTCAAATTTTTGTCTCCTTAAACAGTAACCTCCTGTAGGGTATTTAAATTATATTCTGATTTGCTTATGCATATTCAGAAAGTGACTTTTTACATAAAGTAAATCATATCAGTGATGAAGGTTAGGAGGCACGGAGACTTTCTTCAAGTTTATAAAAATCTATTTAACAGGATTTGATGACCAGCTGTTTATCATTTACACTAAGAATATTAAAAGAGAGTAAAGCTGCAGTAGAAAATATTTTTCAAAAGAGAAAAATCACTTGACACTAAAATATATGGACTAACGACATTTTTATCTTCTGTGAGGCCTCTGAACAAAAATTAGGCAGTGGTCCAGCTGTGGGGTGGTATGCCACCTTCTCAGTGATATCTGGAATGCTGGGGAGAGCTATGACTGTTATGATGACCGTTATGGGTGCTACTGGCAATTGGTAATGCTAAATGTCCTGCAATACGTGCAGTGGTCCTTCCCAAGGAAGAATTATCCTATCCCAAACACCCCTAGAGTTCCTATCGAGAGATGCTTGGGTTAGAGGGTCATCTGCTCTGACTGAAGTCTGTCTTGAGGTAGAAGAATGGCTACCATGACATGATTAGCATCTTCTACCTTTGAAAGCCTCTGCTTCTTCAGAGGAAATCAAGGAAAGGAACACATCCTAAGTCAGCTCACGAATAACAAACTTTATTTCATCCCATTCTCTTAAGAGCACTTACATGACTCTGCCCAGTCCTGAAGCACAAAGGAGAGCCGGCTGGCTGGAGGAGACCAAGGAGGAAAGACTGAAATGCTGGGCTCCCTCGGTCACAGTGAGAAGGCACAGGGAAGAGCCAGGTGAGCAGGAGGACTGTGAAGGGGGCTGAGCTGGGCAGGCAGGGGAGAAACACACTCTAATAGGAGTGTGGTCAGGGAATCAGGCATTCTTGTGTGGAAGGGTCTTTGAAGCCAGGAAAGATGCTCTCTAAGGATCAGCAATTGGGCTTCTGGGAGTCACTCCCTGAAGACACACTGAGAGTCATCCTGGGGTTGGGAGAATGCAGGCAGCAGGTTCCTGGAGGCCTCATTATGTGTGAGGCTCATTTACCCAGTTGCCAGGTTAGTGTTTTGAGACCCTACAAGTTTTTGCTTCAAGTGGAAAGAAGCAGTTGAGAAAACTGGCTAATTTGTTTGAGTTTTACTCACTTGAATAAGCACATTTGTGTTTCGTTTGTTTCAGATGGGACTTGGAAATCCATAGTGACAAATCTATGCAGCTCAAGCCTACAGCTATACTGTCTTGGATCTCAGGAAGTTTAGGCCTTTGTACTTTTAGGCAGGAATTCTATGCATTATAATTAACTTTGGAATTAAAGTAGTCAAATACAGCCATGGTCTTACAGAGGACCGTTTGCCGCAGTCCAGCTGCACAAAATAATCAGGGGGTGACGAGGAACTTGTGTAGATTGATACAGCAGGAGTGGGAGCCGTTTATTGTAGGACAGGAGGGGTATATATACATTCCACACAGCTTATCCTAATTAACATAAACTAGATACAGCAGTCAACCAATAAGAAATCTCCACACTTAATGGCTCGCTGGCGTTACTTCTCAAACCACTCCCTCTGGCAAAATGCCAGGCGCCATCTTGACTTGTTTACAGACTCTAACAACCGTTCACACTGCTTGTGCTTTCCAATGTCATTCAGTATTGAAAGTGCAGTCTAGACCCAGAGATTCTCTCTTTGGGGTAAGGAAATAGAGATGAGCCTTTTAATACTTTTCTCTTTACCTGGCCTTCTCTCTTTTTTCCCCTCCATTTATCAAACTTCTACTAGTTTCTCAATAAAAAAAACAAAAGCTCCAAATTAACTTTCCATTAAAGACTCCCATGAGTTGTTAGTTTAATCGCTTCCTTAGCAATTTCTTTAACATGACGTGCTTATCTGTGCCCATCCATTCTTTAAGGAATTAGCGTATGCCAGACCCTGTCCAAGTTGCTGGACATGCAGAAATGAAAAAGATGCTGTACTAACCTTTAAGAAACTCACAGTTTAGTTGCAGGTAATAGAAAATCATAATAAACGGACATGAGGGCTGTAGTCAGTTCTTGATTAGACTCAGACTGATTATGGGAAAGATAATGGCATCAGTAAAGGGAGACCAGGTTACAAAGCATTTTAGAGTATTTGGGTCTTACCACTTGTAAGAACCTCTTAAGTGATTCTCACTTATCCCTTCTGTTCCTGGACTTCAAGGTTCCTTAGCGGTTGGCCTCTTAAGGGAGTGAACTTCTACACCACAGTCACCCTGTGCCCTGTTGCTATCTATCCAGTGATCTTGCTTCCTTCCTTGAAAAAGACATAGCCAGCACTGAGATTTGGTAGATTGATCTGGCAGCAGCGTGCAAATGGATTTGAGATTGGTGAGAAGAAGCAGGGAAACCAGCTAGGCGGCTGATGTAACAGAGATAATTGGGATTGATCTAGAGGGGTGGTAGTCGTCCCAGAGAGAAGGGATGGATGTGAGAGACATTTGAAGAAATCAATAGAGCTTGTACCTGAATCAATGTGTGGATCAAGAGAGAGCAAAGAACCAATCATTTTATAAACTACTCTTACCAGGCTCATTCATGCCAACTCCCTGATTATTCGCAAATATACATAGCTTCCTATTGTAACAGATCATCAAAAAATTATTTCTATATTAATGATCTATCGTTAGATGAAATTGGTAGCCATGAGATCTCAACAAGAAAGGAGTAGGGTTGGGAAAAACAGCCAAATGCTTTATAATGTTATTGCTTTGGGGCAATTGGAAAGATCTTGGAAATGAGGAACTGGGTTGATGATATAAAAATGTGGTGCCTGATGAAAAAGGAAGGTATTTAGCTTCAACAGCAACTAAATTTATTGAACACTTTCTCATATAGTTTGTCTCAATCCTCCAAATGACCCTGTGAAGTCGGCAGTATTATTTCAAATTGTGCATGAGCGATGTGTGAGAAGCCTTGCCATCAACTGTAAATATATTGGGATTTGGTGCTTATGGAAACAAAAATTGCAAAACAACTAAAAGAACCTGATATAACCTCTCCTGGTTCTGCAAATTACTTTATTTGGGGACCAGATTCCAGTAGGTCTTATAGTGGTTGTTCATGATATCTTTTAGCTTAGGATCCCAGTTAAAAACTTCCCAAAACTTTGGAATTGTGAATGGGAGGCTTTCGAGGTCCTGAATGGAACTCACAACAGGTCTGACATTCCTAAAGTCATGTCCCCTTCTGCACTGCCTCCCATTCTATTCCTGCAGCATAGAGCTGGAGTATCCAACTTTTCTGCATGTGAAAACTCCTTTTCAGTTTCAAAATATTTCATGGACCTTCAACTCAATAATAGCTGTATAATAACAGTTGTACTTTTTATACCTATTGATAGAAAAAAACCAAATTCTGAAAAAGAAAGTTATGGATTTAGTAATTGGTGCTTTCAAATGAATTAAAGCTACATTTGAAAAGAGTTGCATATGCTTTTGTAAGGATGCATTCATCTGCATAAGAGGAATGATGTACGCAGGAATCCTGGGACTCCTCGCAGTGACTCTGACGTAGATAGTAGGGAAGAAGAAATAATATGAGAGTTATTTGGTAAGCTGTAGTGAGCAAAGCATAGGAGATGGGAATCTGGAGGAGAAATGCAGACAGGTGGTGGCTGAGTGGTTTATTAACACACGGCAGGTGTATCCAGGAAGTATTTCTTAGAAGACCATGAGAGAAGAGTTTTCTTTCAATGGAATGTGGATCAGGGACCATAGGAGAAGCCCATTTACAAAGTTCTGAGGGAATTCCCTCACTCTACCTTGTTAAAACTGTGGCTCGGGGCTGAGGCTGGGGCTGGGGCTCAGTGGTAGTGCACTTGCCTGGCATGTGTGAGGCACTGGGTTTGATTCTCAGCACCACATAAAAATAAATAAAAATAAAGATCTGTCAAATATATATATATATAAATAAATAAACTGGAGCTCTTCCTTTAAGTGCATGACTTAATATTGACCTCAGAGTGATCTTGAGCAATACCTTTGTGTGTGTGTTTGCAGGGAGTTGGGGGTATGAAGGAGGTATTAACAGCTATCACTGTATCCCATGTGCTAGGAAATATTATTTCATGACATTACTGGCTCCTCACAGTAACCCTATGAAGCTGATATTGTCAGCCTTACTGTACACCTAGAAAAAAAATGCCATGCAATTTAAGTCACTCTTCTTAGGACATGTGTGTATAATGGAGGATCTAGGGTTGGGACGCATGTCTCTCTGGGTCCAAAGCCTGTGCTCTGTAGACAATATCATACTGCTCAAGTACATCCTACCCAAGGTTATTAGTTCTTGGAAGAGTTACTGTAAACAATAACAAAGGGAGAGAGGATAGGTATAGGTATCTACCTAGAGGATAGGTATATATAGGTTAGTCTTCTGACAGATCCTGAACCCTATCATTTCCCATTGATTGGGAATCAAACCCAGTGCCTCACACATACCTATCAATTCCCAGTGGCCTTTGATCCAGTTCGGACTCCTTTTTCTCCTTTCTTCTTTGTGATTTGCCTGAGTGGAGAGAGGATGCACCAAAATATTCACGGGATAAAAGAATACTATGAAATACAATTTCTAAATGTCCAGACTGATTTCTGGTACCTAAAGACATTCTTAATAGGATTTGAGATATATATATATCTCCATAGTTTGGGGGCCTCTTCTTCTAGAAGTATGAAATAGCATGATTTCGTTGTTTATTGTAAAGGAGAAGGCTGGTTTAAAATTGTCATTGTGCGCCTGTCATGCAACTACAGATTCTGGGATTACATTGCTTATGTTTAAATCCTGATTCTATCACTTGTGAACTGAGTGACCTTTAGGAATTCACTTATCTCTTCAGGTCTCAGTTTTCTCACCTGTAAAATAAGGATAATAAATAACCTACCCCTTAGATTTATGGTGAGGATTAAATGAATACAGTGCTTAAAATAATGCCTACTGCCTAAGATACTTTCAACAAGCATACCAAAACAGGGTACCAAAACAGGATTCACAAAGTGGAACAATTAGACTGAAAGTATTAAAATAATGAAGTAAAAGAGGAAGGAAGGGCTGTCTGCCAGTCCTCGTTGTATTTTAGCTTCCCATAGCCGTCTTTTTTCCTTCTTTCTTTTCATAAATATTTATGTTCCGGGCACTGTTAAAGGTGCAACAGATGTAAAGAGAACGCTCAGAGTGAATCCAGAGTCCGCAGCTATGTACACACAGATACCACCTTGCTGAGACTGGGTTTTCTAGAAGCAGAGCCTGAGACAAGGACTTGGGTACAAGGGGTTGATCCAGGCAGTGGTCTCAGAGAAAAAAAGGGAGAAGGAACACAGTGGGACAGGGAAGACCTCAGCAAGGATGTGGGTCTCAGCTGGAGTCTGACTTGAGCCTGGTGTAACAGAGAGGGCTCTCAAAGTGACTGCTAAAATTGGTCTCGTCTCGAGGCAAGGTAAGTGGCCTGTTGTACCTTCTGAATCATTCAGACATTCATCATGGGCTGCCCTTGGTGGAGGTGGGGTTGGTATCCTCTTCTCTGTTAGCCAAGGTCAAGTCTTCGAAGAAGAAGACAGCTGTGAGCGATTAGCATTTAACATTCATGTCAATGAAGGATGGGTGCCCCCAGCCCAGCAAAGGGGCTCTGGGCAAAGCCTCAACAGAGTCCACTGTACTACTCAGAGTATCTGGGGAATGAGAACAGGGAGTGAAATACGGGGGCTCTTCTTTTGTAATTCTCAAAGATGCTGGAAGACATTTTTATGGTTTTTGCTCAAGCTGCTCAAAACAAAACCTCTTCGACCCGTTTGTAAACTGGAGAGCCTTTACCTGACAGCATTCTAGGGTTTACACACATAGTAATAGGCACAAGGTAAATAATGAGTGAATTTGTTGTTGTTGATCATAGTGTGAAGTGTAGCATTGAAGGTGTCACGCATAAACCTGTCATTTCAGTGCCCTGATTTTCACACAGAGGCCAGGTTCCACTTACCTAAGTTCCTGTGAAATGCTACGTATTTCCCCCACCCTCCCTATTGGTTTACTATGACTTGTGCCGAGAATAACAGGAATAATGTTTAACATTTTTGATACATGGGTATGCCTTGTCTTATTTGATTTTCATGGAGCTTGGCAAACCCATCTGTCCAGCTGGGCAGATCCCTCCAGTTCTTCTTTCATTATTTTCCTTCTTTGTTTTGCTCTTTCCTGCTCATTCCTAGATGCTTCCCAGACAGGCACCGGGTACCCTCACACTATCTTTTCCAACTGGCTCCTTCACCGTGACTCTTCACTGAACTCTTCATTTTATTGCTATATTGAGACTGATCAGCACCTAAGAAAGGGGTTTTCTTCCCAAAGCTCTGAGTAAGGCATCCTTGACCTCCTTGTTCCTCAGGCTGTATACAACAGGGTTCAGCAGTGGGGTGATGACGGTGTAGGTCACAGAGATGAGTCTGTCCTGCAGGGAATTCTGGGATTTGGGTTTCAGGTAGATGAAGGAGGTACAGCCATAATGGACAATAACTACTGTGAGGTGGGAGGCACAAGTGGCAAAAGCCTTTTTCCGGCCCTTGGCTGATGCCATCTTGAGGATGGTGGTGACAATCAGGACGTAGGAGATGAAGATTAAGACCATGGGCAGAACAAGGACACAGAGACTGATGAGCAAAGTGATAAACTCTTTGATGGTGGTGTCAGCACAGGCAAGCTTCATTAGGGGCCGGATGTCACAAAAGAAGTGGGAAATGATGTTGGCATCGCAGAAGGGCAGGCTGAAGACAGAAGACACCTGAATGACAGCAGTGCTCAGGCCAATGGTCCAGGATCCACTTGCCAGGTGTGTACACGCCCTTTTGCCCATGATGACTGAATACCGTAGGGGGCTGCAGATGGCCACGTATTGGTCATACCCCATGGCTGCGAGCAGGAAACAGTTGTTGACACCAAAAGTGAGATAGAAAAAGAGCTGGGTGGCACAGCCCGGAACGGAGATGGTTTGTTGGGGCATGAGAAGGCTGGACAGCATTCGGGGGATGATGGCCACAGTGTAACAGGTCTCGGATATGGACAGCACACCCAGGAAGAAGTACATGGGTGTGTGAAGCTGATGACTGATATAGATGACTGTCAGGATGACAGCATTACTGGCAAGAGTGAGCAGGTATAAGACCAAAAAGACCACAAAGAAGATGAGTCTGTGATGCCACCCAAAGATGGAGAAGCCTTCAAAAGTAAACTCTGTCACAACCGTGAAATTGGGTCTTGACATTGGAGAGAATCTGGGTCTGAAAGAGACAAAGTTGGAAAACTGAGAGTCTGGGTTGGAAGTAGTAGGCTGGCCCAGGGTCGTCACCATGTGCAGTAACTCCAAAAGAATGTATCTCTGGGTTTCAGAAGTTCTCAACATTCAGATACTGGCCAAGCACTCAAGGACCTCTGAAGTTTCTCAGGGTCCTGGTAAACATACAGTGGAGAGACAAGGAAAGAGTCACCAGCAACATCTAGCTGATTGGCTCCTCTGCGGTGATGCTCATTGGAGATGCTCATTGAGCTGTTTCCCCGCCCTTTCAGACTGCCAGCTGATGATTGGCTCACAGCAGCCCCAGCAACATCTAGCTGATTGGCTCCTCTTCGGTGATGCTCATTGGGTTGTTTCCGCACCCTTTCAGACTACGGAGCTGCTCATTGGGGGACTTTTTTGGCTCCGCCCACGTCACCCAGCCAATCGGCCTCAAGAGCAGGAGGAGTAGGGGTGGGAGAGGCTTGTGGGAAGCCAGTGGTGGCAGTTGGGCTCTGAGGGTTTTTCCTGAGGAGCTGTTTTGTTTGGCGTGTGTGGGTCTAAAAATAAAGTTTGTTTCTTTTGACAAGTGGCTCCTGAATTGTGCCCAGCCAGACTGCGGCAAAGAGTAAAGACATAAAAGGAGTGCTAGAAACCCTGGACTAACTCAGCTAGAAGTAGATGTGAATGAGAGAAGGCACTAGAATGCATGTGCACAGTCATGCATCTCCACCAAAACTCCTCTGGTTTGAACCAGCCGTGTATCAGAGACCCACTGCAAAGAGAGTCATTTAAAGTGTGAGTGAGGGTGCCGTAGTCCGGCTGGGTTAAATAACCGAGAGGTGACAAGCAACTTGAAGGTTGAATCGGGAACTACTTTATTGCGAGTGAACTCAGCAGGAACTGAGAACTCAAAGTAGCGGGCACCCAAGGTAGCAGGAGCCGCTTCTCTGCCGGACTGCAGAGGTACATATACCCAACTAATTACACACAGGTTAACTTAATTGACATCATCTAGACACAGCAGTCAGTCATTAAGGAATCCTCATCATCTTAATGGCTCAGAAACCACTCCTCCTAGCATACTGCCAGGCGCCATCTTAACTTGGTTGTGGCCCTCATCATGAGGGGGCTGGGGATGTGGCTCAAGTGGTAGCACGCTCGCCTGGCATGCGTGGGGTACTGGGTTTGATCCTCAACACCACATAAAAATAAAATGAAGATGTTGTGTCCACTGAAAACTAAAAAATAAATATTTTTTAAAAAAGAGTGAGTGAGTGCAAATCAGGGACAAATCATATGTGAGGCACACTCCTGGCGGGCAAAAGACCACCTCCAATTCTGTTCCAAAGGGCTTCCACTTGGTAAATCAATATGCAACACACTGCCTCCTCTCACAGTTAAGATTCAAAATGTTTTAATGTCTGTAATAATGCAGTGAGAAGAAATACTGCTTTTTTATCCCTCTTGAGAAGCACACAGGGTGTAGACCCAGAACATTCTCTGGTCCATAATCTATCCTCTTTTCAATCTTACTTCCCTTCTTATGGCTTCCAGACATCAGATTTTTTTAATAAAGCAATCACAGTTTTTAATTTATTTGCATGCATAGGAAGAAAGACTTTTCCTACATATTATACATCAGCACTGCCCAGTAAAAATATGGTCCAAGCCACATATGTAATTTCTAATTTTCTAATATCCACATTAAAAATAAAAAACAATGGAAATTCATTTTAACAATATACTCTAAACCAATCTGTATAAAATATTATTTTAATATGTAATCAATGTAAAAACTATTCATAGGATATTTTGTACTCTTCTTTTCAAGCTAAGTTTTTGAAATATTGTGTGCATTTTATACTTATAGCCAATATCATATCAGACTATTCATATTTTAAGTGCTCTATAAGTGCACCTGATTATTGGCTAACGTATTGGGCTGTGTACCTCAAGAACATAAGTGATTTCTGTTTTCATCTCTTTTCTTTTCTATAGTTCTAATTTTATCTTCAGAGAAAAATTAGCATTTAAAATAAATAATTAGAATAGAACAAAGGAAAAATATGGGTTTTGGAATCAGAGACCTAGACAGTGGGTTATGAATCTATTATTTTTCTAATTTATTTGGTGTTCTTTGAAGGCCGGGGTCCAACAGGACATATGTAAACACATTTTAGAGAGACTTGTCTACCATGAGGGATAATAGTGATGTCAAAAGATGTTTAACTCCTGGGCAAGTGGTATTATGTGAAACAATTTAGCATTAATTTATATCTATTACACATATGCTGGAAGTAATAGTTGAAAGAGTAAAACTTAACCCCAGAAAGAGTTGTTTTGTCACTTGTAATCAGTTTTATAAAGTTGACAACCAGATTAGACAGGGCAAACAAGCTGTCCATATTAATGACTAAGTTCCATAAATATATTAGAATCATGCTTCACCAATTTCTAGACATAGAAAGTTCTAATATATTTAAGTTCAAGTTCATACCTTTAAATTTATTTAAGACATTGCTTTCAAATTGCATGAGTATTTAGTCTTCTTTGGGGGAGTTGATTGGTTAGTTAGCTGGTTGGTTGGTTAGTTGGTGTTTTGGAACTTGGATGTAAAGATTTGAGTTAATTATATTTGACAATTCATGGCATGTAATCACCAAACAAGACTGTTTTCTTTTTTATTATGTGTTCTTTTTAGATATACATGACAGTAGAGCGTATTTTGGCAGATTATACATACATGGAGCATAACATTCTAATTAAGATGGTACTCTTTTGGTTGTACATGATACATCACTCAGACTCCTTCCTATGTTAAGGGGAGTTTCTGCTTCTACTTTCTAATCTCCCATTAAGCACAATAAAGGCTCTGAAACTTTGAAGTCCTAGCAACTGTAAGACAACAGTGATTAAAAACAACAAAATATTTAAGTTCATGGTAATCTCTAGCTTTAACCCCCATGTAAATAGGAAGATGCCTGATTTTCTTTGCTCAATTCATTTGTCTCCATTTGCTCACCTATAAAATAGAATAAAAATACATACTCCATACCGTTGCTATGGAGATTATAGGAATTACTGTATGTAAATTGCTAAACTCAGTACTCACACAGGAAGACAATACACTAAATTTCTGTGCCCTCTTCACCTGTCTTCCTCATCCCCAACTCTTCACAGCTCTGGAATCTGCTTGAGTGTGTGTGTGAGTGTGTGTGTGTGTGTGTGTGTGTGTGTGTGTTTCTCACTCTTTCTCTCTCTTTCTCATGTTCATAGATTATTGTTCTTATTAATTTCTCTAATCCCTAGCAAATGTAAAGTCCAGTCCTCATTTTCCCCATCTGTCTCCCATCCAACTCTGAAATTCTGAAAAGATTCTGAATATTTAGGGATGGGGGTGGGGATGTCTGGAATTGAATCAACCCACAGCTACATCACAGTGACCTTGGAAATGTTTAGGCCTCGGTTTTCTCACCTGTAAGATGAAGGCTGTACTGATGTGAGAATCCCACGTGAATATGCTTATATAAGGCATTTAGCCGAGACTGGCATGGAGTGTGCTGTTAATAAGGACATTACAAAATCTGAATGTTTTAGGCCATTGTTTTATCTTCCATTGCTTCACATGGAGCGATAAATTGATACTTTTCTCCCAAGCCTGACTTCAGGGGTAGAAGGTAGTCTTCATCCAGCTAACATTGGTGGGGCAACTTGCAGTTTGGAGGAAGCTTTTCTATCCTTTATAGACATGAGGAGATAGCAGGGAAAGAAAGACAATTTAAAGGAGAGAATCCTAAGGATTGGGGGAAGGGTCTGGATGGTGATGGGCATAGGTGAGTCATTCCCAGCATTCTCTCCAGCCCCACAGAATTCCTGCATGATCCCTTTGTCTGGGTCCTTCAACCCTGCACTTACACAACAATGATACATCAGCCAGCCATTCATTGACCTGTCTTCTTGACTTCTTGTTGATGTATGGGACAGGAAATGGAGAAAATTGAGAGGACTTCTCTGCTCAGAGAAAATGCCCTTTCCATTCAAAGAGGGGAAAATTAGGTTCATTTAACCCAAATTGGGTATTCCACTACTTGCCTGCAGGCCCACATATTAGGCATGAGATAGTGTAGAGACAGCTCTAGATGTTTCCAGTTCCCCTGGAATTGACATCAGGACAAGGTGACATCAGGAAGATCATATTCTGGGATAAATTGACCAATTAAGCCATTTGAAAGCTGTCTGAGGGTCTCTAAGGCTACACCTTTTCTATGTGATTATTTTTTCAGTATTTATGTTTTTTGATTTCTAACTTTTGTAGTACAAGAGTACAGTCATTTTCCCCACCTGCCAATATTCTCAGGAAAGAAAAGAAAAAGAAAAAGTGATATTCCATGAGACAGGGGTTATAAGGCCATGTCTAGTTACAGAACAAGAATCCTTGCTTCATCAAATCAATGAAAGGGACTTACGGCTCACTGGGCAGGGCTGAGACTCCTTCCAGATCAGAAGAACAAGGCTCAAACCCACTATTTCCAGAAGGCCTATACATCACACAGAGAGTCTTTCAAAGGGATGGACTAGAACTCACCTGGGTCTTTCAGTTAATTCTTTGCCCCTATTAGTGAGATCCAGGAATAACAAACAGAGAGAGCAACACTGAGCTCCCTGTGCCTCCCCAGAGTCCTGTTTTTTTAAGCCTGGATTGCAGACTGTCAGAGGGGAACAATCTCCTCTGTCCCAGGACTCTGGGTCCCTTCCCCAAGCCATAGTGATGGTCCCCAAGGCAGCAATAGCAAGATTCAGACACCATGATGTCTGGGGATCTCATTATACAGGGACTCATCAACCCGGAGATTCTGAGTTTCCCAAAGGAACAAAGCTTTTGCATCATCAGGACATGCACTTGCCCTGTTCACGGGATGGAGAAGACTTCTTGCCTCTTGATTACCATTATAGACAGAGCCTTCAAACCCAACCATGGGTAAGGATGA